GAACCTCTGTCCTGACTTTTTTTTTCTTTCCAGTTTTTGGATCACACCCAGCAATGCTCTGAGTTCACTCCTGGCTCTGTACTTAGGAATCACTCTTGGTGATGCTTGGGGACCATATGGGATGCTGGGGATAGAACCCAGGCCAGCTGCCTGCAAGGCAAATACCCTCCCCACTGTGCTATTGCTCCGGCCCCTCTATCCTGACTTTTAACAATAAGTGTATGACTATGTATATCATTATCATCTTTATAAAAATAAAAATGCAGTTTGCTCATTTTTGTGTGTCTGCTTAGGCAGTATTGTGTTAGATGACACTAGCTTTTCCATAGTATAGTTTCCATTTTCTGAGTTATATTCATTCTTCTGTTTGTTTTTATTTTGGGGCCACACTCTGCCGTGCTCAGGGCTTGCTTTGGCTCTGTGCCCAAAGATCACTCCTGGTGGTACTGAAGGGACCATAACTAGTGTCTGGGATTAAACTAGGCCATGTTCAAGGCACCTAGGTTTCATCCTTTCATACTCAGATCTTTTTTTTCCAGTCCATGTGGACTGGAACTCTTTCATTAAGACACTTTGAACTTGTCCTTACTTTGCTTTTGGGCAGGTGGTGGATAGGGGGTGGCTGGAGCGATAGCACAGCGGTAGGGCGTTTGCCTTACAAGCGGCCAACATGGCCGACCCGAGTTCGATTCCTCCGCCCCTCTCGGAGAGCCCGGCAAGCTACAGAGAGTATTCGATATGCCAAACACAGTAACAACAAAGTCTCCAATGGAGACGTTACTGGGCCCGCTCGAGCAAATCGATGATCAACGGGAGGGCCTTTACCTTTACCTTTACCTTATTGTTCAGGGGTAACTCCTGGCTCTGCATTCAGAAATTACTCCTGATAGGGCTCAGGGGACCATATGGGATGCCGGGGGCTGAATTTGGGTCAGCTACGTGTAAGGCAACCACCCTACCCACTGCACTAACTCTCTAGTCTCTCACTTGGACCTATCTTTGCTTTGTCAAACTCTTTATTCAGTATTCTTAAACTTAATATGGACACTTTTTACTCAGTTTTCCAATATTTTTTTAACTTGGTTATAGTCATCATCATCATTGTTATTACTGTTATTTTGGTTAAAATGACCTGCTAGGGCTCTTTAAGCCTTGTTCTCGCTTGAAAATGTGTCTCAACCTTTTGAGCTTTTGCTTGTCTTGGTTTCTTTGCTTGCTTATTCCCACTCTAAAGAAGCCTGTGTTCTCTCTTGAACACATACTTACCCCCTTTTCTCTTCTCCTCTTTTTTCTTTTTTTTTCTTATTTTTCTTTTTTTTGGGGGGGTGTGGTGAGCAGCATGCCTGATGGTGCTCAGGGGTTACTCTTGACTCTGAACTCAGGAGTCACTTTGGCCATGTGGGATGGATGCTGGGAATTGGGCCTGGGTCAGCTGTGTGTGTAAGAGAAGCTCCTTACCTGCTGTTCTATCACTCTTGCCCCCATTTCCTCTCACATTTTAGCAGATTTTTGGTCAATACCTTTCTTCACTAAAAAAGTTAAGAAAAAAATGACCTTTCAGTCTTATTTTCCTGTAAGTAGCACTGCACTGTTGTCCTGTTGTTCATTGATTTGCTCAAGTGGGCACTAGTAACGTCTCCTTTGTGAGACGTGTTACTGTTTTTGGCATTTCTAATAACACCATGGGTAGCTTGCCGGGCTCTCCAAGAGGGGCGGAGGAATCGAACCCGGCTCGGCCGCATGCAAGGCAAATGCCCTACCTGCTGTGCTATCACTCCAGCCCTTATATACTTATAGGAGCCCTCCTATAAGTAATCATTAAAAAAATTCTGTAAGACTTGTTTTATGTATGTATGTATGGGGTGTGGTGGGGGGGCACCTTCATCAATACTTAGCTTGGCTTTTATGGCCTGACAATGGGGGACTTGATTGTGTGTTTCACTGCTTGGACCAGTGCTGCTGTGCTATCAGGACCATATCCAGTGGTGCTGGCCAGATGCATGCTCTGTCCCTATGAGCCATATCTCATTCCCTGGTTTTTCTTTTTTCTTTTTTATGTAAGTTCCTTTGTGAGCCAGGGAAATAGCTTATGGGGTGAAGTTCTGCCTGCTTGAGCCTTGGTTTCTGTCCCTTATGCTATGGTTCTTTGAGCACTGGCTATCCCATGCTGGTCATAGCCTCTAATTTATGCCAGTTTAGCCATATATACAAATAAAACCCCAAAATATAAAAAAAGAATTCTAAGCTTATTTTACTTTCTCTTTAAACAGATGAGTGTAATCCATTTATTTGTTATTTATTAGAAATTCTAGAAAATCTGGAATTTCACTATTTTTGATTGAGGTAACTAGATTTTAAGAGTAAAAATGCTTAGATGCTTTAGGGGTATAGTTTTTTTTAAATTAGTTTTTAAATAAAAATGGCATCTGTCTTGTTTACTTTTTTTGATTCCTGTTTATAGAGAATTGTTTCAGTTTGTTTTGTTTTGGGATCACATCCGGCAGTGTTTAGGGCTTATTCTTGCTGGGGCCTGGGGATTGAACCCGGGTTGACCATGTGCAGGCCAGGCACCCTGCCTTCTGTAGGTTCAGTTCTCTGTGGTGAATTTTTAGTGTTAAATTAATGGTCTATTGGTAATCACTTTTAATGCTATTATTAGTGATACTGGTATTTATGGAGCATTTTCCTTTATGTCACAAATACCACAGTAAGTATTATACTGTTACTAATTCAGCAAACATTTCTATTAACTATACTTTTTTATTTTACGAATGAGGATGTTGATTTTTTTGAAGTTGATTTTAAAAGGTAAAAGTGATTTTTTTTTTTTGTGCTTGGTTGATAGACAGGAGTATCAGATTGTGATATTGTTAAACTGCTCTTTATAATACAGCTCAGCCTAATTGCTGAACTGATTGATGTGTAGATGTATAGGGATTTGGAGTAAATACTTATAAGATCTTAGATATAGATCACTGATTTATCTGGTTTTGTGTGTATGTGTGTTTTTAAATAAAATAGCTTTTATTGAAACTTTCTTAAAAAGGTTAAGAGGGGAGAAAAAGGGAGAACTGTATGTTCAAGGGAGAACAGTCTTCTCAAGAGTGGAAACAAAGTGCAAACAAAGAAACAGACGAGCAAGATTCACCAGCTTGAAAAGCAAGGCTTATCTGTTTTTTCTGAAAGAAAGTCATTGTTTGGATTAGGAGGAAAGAAAGATTTAGTGAATTTGTTTGCAATGAAAATGTTAGTTGTAGGGCTGGGGATTATACAGGGTAAGGTGCTTGGATTGTACACGGCTGACCTGGGTTCAATTCCTGGCCCTGTATATTGTTCCTCATCCCCAGTAAGCCCTGAGCACAGCTGAGTGTGGCTCTAAACCAAGGGGTGGGGGAGTTGCTTTTGATGTTACAGATGTTGAGAGCTTGAAGGAAAATTCATAGACATTTCTCAAATTATGTTTCATAATACACTATTGTGGGAAGCTTAACTACATATGTTTGAGCACACTTATATTTTTCTTGGCAGGGAAATCTTCCTAGCTTTGTTCATCTTGGAATTTCCCAAATCAGTTTGTATGCTCCTCTATTGTGTATATATATATATATATTTGGCCTGCACTTGGCAGTGCTCAGGACTTACTTCTGACTCTGCTCAGAGATCAGATCACTCTTGGTGGGCTCAGGGGACCATATGAAGTGCCAGGGATCGAACAGCCTTGTGTAAGGCTGGCCTACCAGATGGACTATCACTCTGGCCCTGTAGACCTGTTTATGTCTTATGGAACATCTTTAAGTATGTCAGTTTGAAACAAAAGCCAATGTCTATTCTTTCATTTTTCCATGAAATATGTTAAGTATGTTGGCTGAGATTACACAGCCAGCGCTGCTGGGGAGATAGCTCAAAGGACCAGATGTCATACCAGCATGGATGGGTTGGGGTGAGGTGGGGAGCCCAGCACTGCATGGCCTTCAGGCACCACAGGAGAGCCCATGCCCCTCTCCAAGAAAAACAAAAGTATTGCAGAGCTACTAAATAATAGGATACAAAGTAATAAGTTATTATGATCTTGTATTCCTTTGTACTGTGCTTTCTCTGATGTTTTATAATAACATTCATTTTGTTCTTTGTTCAAATCCAGTGGTACTGGTGGCTATCACCTGGCTACCAGAGGTTCTAAGGGGACTATATAAAGCAGGCCAGGGATCAAAGCCAGACCTCCCTCAGGCAAATGGAACCTAATCTCTCCACCTATTTTCAGTTTCAATTTTTATATAATTTTAAGTTAATATATTTTTTGGGGGGGTGGTGGTCACACCCAGTGGTGCTCAGGGCTTGCTCCTGGCTTTGCGCTTGGGGATCACTCCTGGCAGGGTTCAGGGACCTACTGAGGTGCTAGGGATTGAACCCAGGCTTTGCAAGGCAAGTAACCTGCCCACAGTATTATCACTCTGGATCCTATATATTTGTTTTTGTTTTTGGGCCATACCTGGTAGTGCTCAGGGATTACTCCTGGCTCTGCAATTACTCTCGGCATGCTCAGGAGATCATATGGGATGCTGAGGATTGAACCTGGCTTGTCTGCAAACGCCCTACCTGCTGCACTGCCAGCCCAGGCTCCTGTATTATTAAAGAATTTTAAAACAGGCTGGAACTACAGTACAGGATTAAGGAGCTTGCATGCATGCAGCAGCAGACCACAGTTTAATTCCTGGCAGCCCTTGAGCACTACTGAGTCCCGTTCCCCCCTCCCCCTTCCAGCCCCCAATTGTAAAACAGACTTCAGTATATAGTTTTTTGTTTACTGGTCTAGTACATTTACTTTAATACTCAGAAAAATATTTACTTTTTAAACTTGAGATTTCTGTTTTAAAGGATAGCCTAATTAGCATGAATATATCACCATAACCACTTATGTTTAATCATAGAATTTAAGAGTACTTTTTTTCTTTCTTGTAAACTGGTTCTTCTAGTTAACATGTCACAAATATTTGGTTTAGTTTTTGTAGAAAATGTTTCCTGACTGCAATGAGAGAGAGCGGAATACATTGTCCCCTCTGTCGTGGAAATGTGACTAGAAGAGAGAGAGCATGTCCTGAACGGGCCTTAGACCTTGAAAATATCATGAGGAAGTTTTCTGGTAGCTGCAGATGCTGTGCAAAACAGGTAGAGTAAACGTGACATAGCTCTTTTATTAAAGTCAAGTTTCAGGGTAATCTGAAATTCCTTGAAATTTCTTGCTGTTGTTTTGAAGAGGATTATTATTTTGAATTGGTTTAAGAAAAGGGGGGGAAAAGGTCAAAGGTCCATTGTGAGTGCATGCCTTGCAATTGTGAAGCCTTGATTTCTTTAAAAAAAAGCATATAACTGGCTATAGATCTAACTAAATTATAAGACCGAAACTAAAAGATAACAAGATATCTGAACTTTTCTCATGGTATTTTTCTCAAAGTAATCATTCATTGATTACTTTTATTGCATTGATTATTAAAATTAATTAAATGAGCCGAGTGACAAACCATAGTCTAACACAATTGTACTCTTAGATCATTTATCTGAACGTACCATCATTGCCGATTTTTATGTAAAAATGAGTCAATTAAGATTTACATCGTCAAAAAACTCCAGCTTCTCTTTTGTATGTTTCATGTGTTTATCTAAAAAACTTATTTAGCAGAAGACTAGTTTTTAAATAATACATAGATCAGGTACTGGCAAATAAATGGCATTATCCATTCTGCATTTTGTTTTGTCTTTGGTAAAGGTATGAAATGGTGAGGTGTGGGTCAGCTGTAGCCTTGTATTTATGGATTTTCTATAACTATTTCTTCCAAGTAGCAAGTAAACAGTAAGTAAAATCACTTGCATATCATTCATTGATTCAAGTCATGCAAGCTTTTTTATCTCTTTGAGAAAGTTGTTAACTGACAGGACAATAAGTGAAACTAAGATACAGGTTTTGAAAATTCTGTCTCTAATATATAGATTCAGTGAGAAAAGGGAAAATGTATTAATCTGGGAACCTTTTAAAAGGTCTTTCTAACACTTTTTAATTCTGCATTGGTTAAAGAAAAAAAAATGCACAGGGCTGAAGGATGTGGCTCAGTGGTTGACCAGCTGCATTGCATTTGTTCCTGGTACCACCAAAAAAAAAAAATGCTCGAGACCATGAAACAGTCTTAGTTTTATTTTCTTCTGTCAGTAGTATTGTTTCAAGTTTAAAATTATTTAACGGTTTTTACAGTTTATGTATAGATGGACTTTTCTCTATTGTCTCTAGATTAATGGATAGAAATTTATTCCTGGTTTGTAGTTTCTATTTAAAAATGAAATTAGTTAGTCTTAAAATCGTATTTAAATAGTACTTAGTTACCTATTTAATCTTTTATTGACGATAACAAATTTTAAAAGTTTTAAAAGTCATTACATTTTAATAATTTGCAGATTAAATTCTATCGCATGAGACATCATTACAAATCTTGTAAGAAGTATCAAGATGAATATGGTGTTTCTTCTATTATTCCAAACTTTAAGATCTCTCAAGATTCAGTAGGGAGCAGGTAAGCAATATTTATTCTTAAAAAAAGGAGAATATTTATGGTTGAAATTTCAATTGTGGCTTTTGTGGGATGTGTGCGTTGTCTTTAAGTTGCCAGATTTTCATTTCATGTAAATTATGTGTATGTGTTAAAAGTTGCCAAATACTTGTTTCATGCAGATTGCATCTGAGAGATCAACTTCATAATTAAACTTACATTATTTAAAAGTTAATCTAGAGGTTAACTCCTGGAGTGACCATCCACCTGTCAACACTGAGCACCCCCGGTGTGGCCAGAAATAAATAATAAAAAAATAATTAAAGTTTTTCTAAACTGCACCTTTGAACAAAAAATAGATAAAAGTTGAAGTCTTTTTGGGGGAGGGGGCAACAAAGCTATTTGAAAGCTAGGGAAGCTTCAATAATGACTTGAATGATGAGTTCAGAGACTGGAGAGATAGTATAGTGGGTAGGAAGCTTACCTTGCATGTGATGGACCTGGTTTGATCCTTAGCATCCGTATGGTCGGCCAAGCCCACTGGGAGTGATGCTTGAGCACAGAGCCAGCAATAAACCCTGAGTGCCACTGGTATGGGTCCTGTCTGCTTCTGCTCCCCCATGTGTTTTATGCAGAAGAAAGGCAAAAATGCAGATGTGGTTAAAAAAAAAATAGTGGAATGATGAGACTCTGAAGTAAGAGTACAACTGGTAAGGCACTTACTCTGCCTGCAGCCGACCCAGATTTGTGATCCTTGTTACCCCATATAGTCCGCTGACGCCTCTGACACCTCCCAGGAGTGATCCCTGAGCATGGAGCCAGCAGTCAGACCTGAACATAGCCAGGCACCAAAACTAATAAAAATATAAAAGTAGTGACATAACACTCAAATGGCCCAAAAGTAGGATGTTTTCTGTACCTTAAAATTTTTAGTTAGTCCTAATCTATTTGAACTCGATATTCCTCCCCCCTTTTTTTTGTTTCAATAGTATTTCATTTCACATGTTGTTAATTTTCAATAATTCACCCCTCCTTAAATTCTGATACTGTAATCAGACTTCTTCCCTACTAACGTGAAACTGCTATTTCTATTATTTTTTTGATAGCCTAGTCTGCAGAATGCTTTTAGACTTTCCAGGTATTATTATATATGGGGACTCAAACCCTGGACTCAAATACAGCCCTTGACTATCTGTTACTGCATTTTCTACCTCAGCTATGTTGAATTATTGTATCATCATATCAAATGATGTGTCATTGCCATCATTAAGATGCAGTATAACTAGTGGTCAAAAAAATGCCTTGGAGCCAAACTGCCTGAACTGTCACTCATTGTGTGACTGTGGCAAGAAACTGCATCTCAATTTTTTTCATCTATTAAAGTATGGGAGGTAGTGTGACCATATCATACTTGAGTTGGGACTCAGGAAGTCGGTTAATATGGTAAAGTGTATAACTTGGTTGGTAAATATTATCATCACAATCACGCTGTACTTCTACCAGTTTATCTTTTCTCCCATACTCTAACAAACCCTTTGCCAACTGATGGGCCTTTTTCTTTTCTTTGAAGAATTAGACCAAGTATAAATTACTGTGTAAAATCTTCAATAACAACTAATGTTTGTTCTGGGTAGAACTATTCTTTGTCCCCTGACTAGAACTTTGCATATTAGTTTGTCTTGTTTTCCCTCTATAGTGGGCCTCTAGTCAAATAGTTTGTGAATTTTTAGTAAGGAACTGGTAAAGGAAGGAAACGATTTATTTATTTATTTAAAGATGGGGCCTGAGCTCTTCACTCAAAGAGGTGTAGCATGTTTTACGTATACAAGACCCAGAGTTATGCAAGGAATGGTCCCTACAGCACCATCACCAGGTAGCCTTGGTAACCCCTGAACACTGCAGCACTAGTAGCACCTCATCTGCCTGACTCACATGCTGGGGCATTATTGCTGGTAGAGACTTCTGGACCCCAAGCATTTCTGGGGAGCTCCCTACTTTTTATTTTTTTATTTATTTTCTTTTTCTTTTTGGGTCACACCCGGCGATGCACAGGGGTTACTCCTGACTCTGCACTCAGGAGTTACTCCTGGCGGTGCTCAGGGGACCATATGGGATACTGGGAATCGAACCCGGGTCGGCTGCGTGCAAGGCAAACGCCCTACCTGCTGTGCTATCTCTCCAGCCCCAGCTCCCTATTTAAAAATAAAACAAAAACCAGAAAATGAAGATATCATTGTATATACAGGATATTAAGGAAGCAAATACTATCATAACAGTGCATGGTATGATAGTATACTTGGATTGGTAGTTCGAGGACTATTTTGCAAAGCACTGTTTGCAAAGAATATTGGGTATACGGTGTGGGTAGGGTACAATAAATCACAAGGAATCAGTCGATATCCTCTGAAAACAGATGGGGGAGAAACTAGATACCAGAATGTGGAGGAAGCAAACTATGATGAGGGCATAGAGAGGAAGGGTGTAGCCTTTCAAGACAATCATGCGGGGAAGAAAGCTTAGGAAACAGTATCCTAATTTTCCTCGTTTCTCCCTCCAAATTTGCTGGGCTCATCCAGCTGGGAAGCAGAGAAGGGAACCTGTTGATACAGGTCAGTTTCAGAACATAGAGCATGGAAAAAGTGGAGGGGAGATCTTGAGCAAAAGATACCCATACATAGGATTTCTGTTTGTAGTCAAATACACACACACGTATATATATATATATATATATATATATATATTATATATGTGTATGTATGTATATTCTCCCCCCACCCGCATCCACACACACACACACACACACACACACACACACACACACACACACATATCTAGAGTCCCTCAGCTTCAAGTAGTTAGTGTAAATAATTACAACATGTATTAACATCTATGGTACTATAAGTACAGTGGTTTCCACAAGAAATCTAGCATTCCTGTATTAAAGAATACTGATTTTGCCCATAGGCTTTTACAGCAAGAAACTAATAACGTAAACATAAGTATAGAACAAGTTATATAGAGTTAGTCCAAAAGATTTTCAGTTTAGGTTTCATAACCTAAATAATGCTTTACTGCAGGTTATTAAAGGTTTTTCTCTCTTCTCGCCTCCCCTTCCCTTCCCTCTCCCCCTCACCCCCTCTCCTGCCCATCCTCCTCCTTTCCCCTCCCCTGCTCTTCTCTTTCTCCTCCTCCTTCCCTCCTCTGCCTTCCCCTCTCTCTTCTTCTCCCCTCCCCTCTTCCTTCTCCCCCTCTCTCCCCCTTCCACCATCCCCTCCCATTCTTCTATCCCCCCATACCCTGCTGTGCTTAGGCTACCTAATGAAGTTTTTCTTCCAGAATTTTTCTTTGCTAATTTGGCTTAATCTGAGTGTGATGGTAGAGTGAACAAGATCTATACGTAGTCAGACATAACCGGGAAAGTTATTTCTAAAAGCTTTGATAAAAGGTCTTTTTTTTGTTCATTTGGATTGGTTTGGTTTTGGGTCACAGCCAGTGGTGCTAAGAACTTACTTCTGGCTCTGCCCAGGGATCATTCCTGGTGCTCTTTGGGGACAGTATGGAATGCCGGTGATTGAACAGGGTCTGCTGCTAAGCTTTGATAAACATTTCAACATTTCAATTTGCAAAACATAAGGTTCTATTCCCTTTTTTTTTGGGGGGGGGATGTTTGGGCCACACTTGGTGATGCTCAGGGCAGTGGCTTTGCACTCAGGAATTAATTACTCCTGGCAGTGCTCAGAGGACCATAGGGGAAGCTGGTGATTGAACCTGGAATGGCTATATGCAAAGCAAATGCCTACCCACTGTACTATCACTCTAGCCCCAGAACTCTGGTCTTGACTTTCAAGTAACTTATGAGAGCAGACCCATTTTATATGCTGATTCAGAGCAGGCTGAGGGCAAGAGGGGCAGTGCAACATTTGGGGCGCTTGCCTTGCAAATGACGGATGGAAGTTTCAAGTTTCATTCCCGGCACCCTAGGTTGGTCTGGAGCGATAGCACAGTGGGTAGGACGTTTGCCTTGCATGCGGCCAACCCAGGTTCAATTACTTTGTCCCTCTCAGAGAGCCTGGCAAGCTACCGAGAGTATCCCACCCCCACGGCAGAGCCTGACAAGCTCCCCATGGTGTATTCGATATGCCAAAAGAACAGTAACAGGTCTCACAATGGATACGTTACTGGTGCACGCTCGAGCAAATTGATGAACAATGGGAGAACAGTGCTTCAGTGCTACCCTAGGTTGATATAGTTATTTTAGGTCACACCTGTCAGTGCTCAGGTACTAATACTGGTTCTCCTGGCAATACTTTGTGCACCATATGTGTTGTTAAGCACCTTAACATCCCTGTTCTCCTTGCCCCCAACCCTTGGCTCAAGGACTTTTTCACTCCATTGATTTATAACACCTCTGCCCTTCACATCTCTATTTTATTCAGCTTGTTTGTTCATTTATCTAGTACTATACTATCTTAATTGCTATGACTTTAATAATGTCTTAATATCAGATAAGGAAATTTTTCTTAAAAATGTTGCTGTGGCTGGAGTGATAGCACAGTGGGTAGGGCATTTTGCCTTGCACGCGGCTGACCCGGGTTCAGTTCCAGCATCCCTTGTGGTCCCTTGAGCACCGCCAGGGGTAACTCCTGAGTGTAGAGCCAGGAGTAACCCCTGTGCATGGCCAGGTGTGACCCAAAAAGCAAAAAAAAAAAAAAAGTTCCTGCTACTCATATTTTGTTCATATAAATTTAGAATTAGTTTTGTTTCCCTCAAATCCTTGATGACACAAGCATTTGGAGACTAAATTAATTGAAATTGGCCTTAAATGATACTGCTGTTTCCACCTAGAAAAACAACCTGTTCTCCCATTCAAAAACTCATTGAGATGGGGAGATAGTTGAGAAGTTTGAGCATACACCTTTTGGGGGGGGGCGGGGGATTGGGGCCACACGTGACTGCTGAGGGCTTACTGCTGACGGTGCTGGGAGGAATGCGGACTGCATTGGTGCTGGGGATTGAACCCAGCTTGACCATGTGCCAGGCCTTACGCACTGTGGTATCTCTCCTGCCCCCCTTTAAATACTTACACTCAAATCGGAAACCCAGCTGAGCATGTGGCTTGGTGGTGTGGCACCAGCTTTGACATGCATGAAAATGTATTCATCCCCAGCACCTCACACAAGAAGAGTCTTTCTCAAATCAGATTCTTTAGTGGAATTTAAAAAAAAAAAAGTGTGCATCTGACTCTTTTGCCAGATTGTCTAAGTTGTAGATTTTAGGCACATGAGTTTTTAGAATCAATGTAGGTGGTTATAGTGTTTTTGTTTTGTTTTTAAAGGTTTGTTTCCTTTGTCTAGGCTGCATTTTACTGAATGTTTCTTTTACATCAGATAATATGTTTTCCCTTTGTTTTGGTATGGTGTCAGAAATAGATTTTTATTTGTTATAACTCATTCATGTTTTTTTGTGGGCGAAATGAGAAGGCTTCCGTGTAGACCAGGCATGATATGGGGTGATTTGAATTATGGTAAATAGAGAATTGTAATAGAAAGTAGTAGAGAAGCCACTTGAGAGTCGACCAGGGGGATAGCTCAGAGGGCTGGAGTGCAAGCTTTCAATGCGGAGACCTGGAATTTGGTCCCATATTTGCATGCACCTCCAAGACACCCCTACCAACTCCCCCCCTTCCCAGCTAAGCATGTTGCTGTCACCCAAAAACCAAAAATAAAATTTAGAAAATGAAGTAACAACATTGGCTTTAAAATGCTTAAATCAGAAGTTTTGTGATTGTATATCTCATCAGTAAGGTCATTGAAAATAGTTAGCATGTACATTTTGTATATGCATATTTTTAAAAGTGAAACAAAATAGTTTGTATTGAAAGAAAATTTAGGAGATATGAGGGGAAAGAGAGTTAAATAAGAACACAGGCTTTTCCAGAAAGGGAAAAAGACCTATGCGTGTTTGTTTTAGAACTATACATGTAATGTACATTTGTGTGTAAGTATGTGTGTGTGTTTGTATACACATATAATATATAATGTACAAAATATAAGATAAAGATGACAAAGTTAACTTTAAAAATTAAGTTTTGAAGGACTGGAGAGAGAAGGGATTGAGGTGCCTGCCTAGTATGCAGTGCTTCCAGGCTCATACCTGGCACTGCCTGCTTCCCAAGCAAACTAGGAGTAAAAATCCTGAGCCACTGGGTATGGTTCAGATCCTTTCCCCATACCTGAGATAAGTTTGGAGGCTAGGGTGGTTGCTCATTGGACTGCATGCGGGCTCTGCGTACAGGGGTCAGTCGCTGCACCACATGGTTCCCAGAGCAGTGCTGGGAGTATACCTACCTTGAACACTTCCAGGTATGCTCCAGCCCCCATCTCCTGCAAAAATAGGAGAGTAGTTTTGCAGACCAGGATGAGAGCTTTAAGGGTTTGATCACATCCTCTGCATGTGGAAGACCCATTTTCAAAACCATAGCACTGCATGATTACCCCCAAACCATCAAGGCAGGAGTATCCTCTGAGCAATGCCTGGTATGGCTCCCCATCAAAAAAAAAAAAGTTTTATCTAGTGAAATATATTATTATTTGAATGGGGAGTGGGCCATACTCAGCTTCTCTGGGGACCATATGTGGTGTGCAAGATCAAACTGGGTCGGTTGCATACAAGGCAAATGACTTACTTTGTACTAACTCTGGCCCTGATGACTAAAATTTTCTTTTTTTTCTTCTTGGCTTTTGTGTTTTGGACCAGACTCAGCAGTCCTTAGAGGCTATTCCTGCCTCTGTGCTCATGAGTGACTGTGCTTGAGGGAATGTATGTGGTGCCAGGGTCATCTGCTTGCAAGGCCTAAGTTCCTGACTCCCTACTGTATTTTCAGTCTTCCTATGAGATATTCAGTCTCTAGTCACTAACAAAAAGTGCTTTGTTGAAACAATCTTTTCGCATGTTTTTGGACTGTATCTGGCAGTGTTGGAGGAGGGCTGGATGCAGCTCAAGTCAGTGCTCTTGAGCCTCTTCCAGTGGTGTTCAGGAATTTTGCGTGCCTGGAGTCTTATGCAGTGACTCTTTCAGCCATTGAAAATTTGATCATTGAACCACTTCCTAGACTTCTATTGAAATCTTCTCATCTCATATCTCCTAACAATTTTATATCTGCTTTTACAAACCAATCAGAGGCTTTTTTTTTGAAGGGGGTGCCAGTAATTTAATTCAATATCTCATATACCCCTGCACATATAGTTATAATTTAGCCATATTCCCAACTTTTAAGTTATTACCTTTTTTTTTTTTGTTTTGCTTTTTGGGTCACACTCGGCGATGCTCAGGGATTACTCCTGGCTCATGCACTCAGGAATTACTCCTGGCGGTGCTCGAGGGACCATATGGGAATGCTGGGAATCGAACCTGGGTCGGCCATGTTGGCTGCGTGCAAGGCAAACACCCTACCCGCTGTGCTATCGCTCCAGCCAAGTTATTGCCTTTTTATTTTTTGACTTTGGGGCCAGATCTGGTGTTGCTCAGGGATTATTCCTGGCTCTGAACTCAGGAACTATTCGTGGCAGTTCTCGAGGGATACCTGGGATCAAACCCGGGTTGAACCTGAGTACCCATGCCTCTACCAGTGTCCATTTTCCACCACCAATGATTTCCAGCATCCCTTCCACCACCACCCCTGCGCCCCCCCCTTCTCCCCCCACCTCTGTGGCAGGGCATTCCCTTTTGTTCTCTCTCCTTTTGGGCGTTGTGGTTTGCAATAGAGGTATTGAGTGACCATTGTGGTCGGTCTATAGTCTACTTTTGGCACTTATCTCCCATCCCGAGTGGGTCCTCCAAACACCCTTTATTTGGTGTTCCCTCCTCTGTCTGAGCTGCCTTTTCCCCCAGCATGTGAGGCCAGATTCCAAGCTGCGGGGCAAACCTCCTGGTCCTTATCTCTACTGATCTTGGGTGTTAGTCTCCTCTTCTGTTACTTTATATTCCACAGATGAGTGTAACCTTTCTATGTCTGTCTCTCTCTGACTCATTTCACTTAACATGATACTTTCCATGTTGATCCACTTAATATACAGATTTCATGAGTTCATCTTTTCTAACAGCTGCATAGTGTTCCATTGTGTAGATATACCAGAGTTTCTTTAACCAGTCATCTGCTCTTGTGTTTCCAATAGTGAGTCTTTATTTTTAATTGAGGCAACTTTATAGCATTTTATTTTAGAAGTACAGATTCAAACTTCTTCAACATGCATGTGATACGATGTGTATTATCATACCAGGCCCACCACCAAAGTACCAAAATCCTTTAATCACAGTCATTGAACCTCTCATTCATTCCCACAGCCCCTTCTGATAACCTCACTTCTGTCATCAGTATCCAAGGGTTTCCTTTGTCTGTTGTTTTTTTTGTTTCCTTGTATTCCACATGTGAATTTTTGAGTTTATTTTAAAATTGGTTTTTACTCTTCCTTGTTAAAATGCTATCTTTGCCAGAAGAGACAGATTAATATTTGTACTGTATTGTGGTTTAGTATTTATTTTCTTTTTAAAATAATAATAAAACCTTTATGTTTCAGTTTTTTTTTTTTTTTTGGCTAGGGCACTCCCTGCTCTGCTTGGGGTCAATTCTAGTGGGTGGTACTCAGAGGACCTTGCAGTGCTAAGGATTAAACCTGGGCCTCCTAGGTGCAAAATATGTGTTCAGCCCATTGAGCTAGCTCTCTTATTTGGGCTTGGAAGCAGGGACGCTTGGTTGCTTTCCTAGCTTAGGATGTATAGGATGAGAGAGCATTGTTATGGTCAGAGAAGGAACTACTGTTGCACTATGTCTTGTATACTGGTCTTACTTTGTACGTGTAGCTTTATTGGAAATTGTTATCAGCCTGCCAGAAGATAAATGAGTGACTGGTAGGTACATAACATAGTATCATACCACTTGTCTCTGTAAAAGAAAAATGAATAAACAACTCAACAAAGTTTGGCAATCCTTTCAACTTACATAGAGATGTAACAGTATACCTTGTGTGGTATTTTTTTCCCATCGATTATCTTTCTGATTTCTAATATTCTCCCATTCACCACATTGATGAATTTTTGTGATGCTATCCCCATATGGATTGCTCTCCATTTGCTCCTGATTTCTCCAGTACTGCATATAATAATTGAGCCTCTGACGTGGGGCTTGAAGGAAACTATCAAATTTTTCGGTGTTCTAAAGCTGCCTTAATCCTTTGTGGAAAATAGGAACATAGTGAATGCTGAGTATTTTCTTAAACCCAGGTGCACTTCCGAGATTACAGCCTCAAACTGTATCCGAGTTACAAACCTAAAAGTTCTCTAATTCTTCTCTAGTGTTCCAAAGCCCACTAGTTGAGGCAGAGGGAGGTTGGAATCTCTTCATTTGAAAATCTAAAAGACTTGGGAAATAAGCAGTGCTGTCGATTTTAAAAATGTGACACAGAATTCTATACTTGATGATTGTTAATTGTGCATAAATTAATTTTACACATAATAAGCTCTAAAATTAGAATTCATTTGATAAGTAATGCCAGTTATTTAGTAGTTTAGAACTATTTGAAGTTAAGACTTTTAAAACATTCTGATTGGTCTGCATTAGCAATTCAAGTTTATGTATTTGTTATATGATATGGGTTTATTTAAGTATTCTTTTTCCTCCCCTTCTGTGCTTTTTAAGTAATAGGAGCGAAACGTCCACATCTGATAACACAGAAACTTATCAAGAGAATACAAGGTAAACTTTTGAAATTTTTGCTATGTTAGTAAACAATAGATTTTATTTATTTATTTTAAAAGGTAAAAAGGTAAAGGCCCTCCCGTTGATCGTCGATTTGCTCGAGCGGGCCCAGTAACGTCTCCATTGGAGACTTTGGTGTTACTGTGTCTGGCATATCGAATACTCTCGGTAGCTTGCTGGGCTCTCCGAAAGGGGCGGAGGAATCGAACTAAGGGTTGGCCATGTTGGCCGCTTGTAAGGCGAACGCCCTACCCGCTGTGCTATTTTAAAAATATTTATTTTTAATTTTATTGAATCACTGTGAGATAGTTACAAGCTTTCATTTTGGGGTTACAATCCCTTCACCATTGCACATTCCCTACCACCAATATCCCCGGTATACCCCCCCTTTCTCACCCTCCCCCTGCCTCCATGGCAGACAATATTCCCCATACTCTCTACTTCTGGGCATTGTGGTTTGCAATACAGACCCTGAAAGGTTATCATGTTTGGTCCTTTATCTACTTTTTGCACACTCCCATCCCGACTGATTCCTGCAGTGATCTTGCAAATAATAGATTTTAAAGTTAAAAAATATGGGTGCTGGAAAGATAGTACAGGCAAACAGGTAGGACATTTGCCTTGCACTCAGCAGACCTAGGTTCGATCCCTGGCATCCCCAAGATTCCCCAAAACACTGCCAGGAGTAATTACTGAGTGCAGAGCAAGGAGTGACCCCTGATCATCACTGGGTCTGACCCAAAGGTGGGAAGAGGGAAGGAAGAAATTAGAAATTGCCTATTCAGTTTCACTGTAGTTTTTTTTAATTCATAATTTAGGTGGACTTGTCAATATTGAAATATCCCGATAGAAGTGTTAAAACCTAGGATTCATGATCCTTGAAATGTGTTTTAAATGTTGATCATTCTGATAACCATTTTTTTTATTTTTTCAATTTTCTATGAATTTTGTTTGCTAGATTCCTAGAGATTGGGTTAAGTTAAAGATAAATTGTTTGAGCCTGAGGCCAGAGAGATAAGTGGGTAAGGTGTTTGACTGGCATGTAGCTAACCAGTTTGATTCCTGGCACCTCATAAGGGTCTCTGAGCTTGCTAGGAGTGATTACTGAGCACAAAGCGAGGAATAAGCCCTGAGCACCCCCAGGCATGGCCCGAAAACTGGGATGGCGGGTCAGTAGTTTGTACTTAACTAATAAATGGAAACAGCTAGGTTTGGTTTTGGTTTTCTGTTGTTCTAGAATATGGGTACAGGGGTGCGAGCTGTTTTTCTCTCAAGACCCATTTGGGTGTTAATAATAAAACTTGTAGACCATACTGGACAGGCAAGCAGACTGCCAGCCATCCATGCAAGCATCGGTGTTTGCCCATCCTGTACCAAGACTAGATAATATGATTTTGTTCGCCTTTTACAGCCCAGAGTCTGGGTCTTGCTTACCTCTGCTTAAACAGACCACAAACCGAAGAAAAGAGTTCCAGTAAAGAAAGTTATGATGGGCCTGGAAGATTTCTTTCCTATTATGTATTAGGCCAGACTACATGATAAGACTACCCTACCATGGGCCTAGAGGCACCGTGAAAAAGCTTATTAGACTGGGGGGAGGGGGCAGGGGCGCTGATGTTTGGAAATTTGGAACACGTAATAGGTCGTTTACTGAAAGTTTTTTTCAAGATGAGAGAATCTTGCCCCAAACATGGAAGAGAATATTATGCTTTCAAATTAAGTAAACTTTGTTTTAAATTGTTTCATAGTTCTGGGCATCCAACCTTTAAGTGTCCCTTATGTCAAGAATCAAATTTTACCAGACAGCGTTTACTGGATCATTGCAACAGTAATCACCTATTTCAGATAGTTCCTGTGGTAAGTACAGATGTGTAAAACACTTTTCTTATTTTCAATCATTTCATGAGTGTATGACAAAGAAAGATTTAAATTTGGATGTGATTCTCAGTAAGGTAGTATTTTTCTTTTTCAGTTTTTTTTTTCCTTAAATCACTGTGAATTACAAAGTTAAAAAGTTACTCATTAAGTTCAAGGCATACAGCGTTCTAGCACCAATCCTTTTTCACTAGTTCAATAAGGTAGATTTTTGTGAACAAAAGAAAAAATGATGACTGTGGGGCTGGAGCGATAGCACAATGGGTAGGGCATTTACTTTGCACACAGCTGACCTGGGTTCCATTCACAGCATTCCATATGGTCCTCTGAGCACCACCAGGAGTAATTCCTGAGTTCAGAGCCAACCCCTGTGTATCGCCAGGTGTGACCCAAAAAAAGCAAAAAAAAAAAAAAAATGACTGAAACAAAAACAAGATATTTAGGATTTCAGACAATCACTTTTTTTGGTTTGGGGGCCACCTGTGGTGTTGCTCAGGGCTATTCCTGACTTGGTGCTTGGGGCTTGCACCTGTAGGTGTTCAGAGGGCCATAGCACTGAGGAGCAAACCCAGGCCTCTGTGTGCGGAACTTGTGCTCAGCCCCTTGAACTACCTCTCCAGTCACAGTAAGACACTGCCTTTGGGGTCAGGTGGTGGCAGGGTCACATCTGCCTGTGCTAAGGATTGACTCCTGTTCATGGATCACTCCTGGTGGTGCCTAGAGGGACTGCTCAATTCTGGTACTGGGATTGAATTGGGGTGGGCTGCGGGCAAGGCAGGCACCTGATTTCTGTACTATTTTTCTGCCTGAAAATCAATATTTAAAAAAAAAAAAGTTTCAAGCAGAGTGCAGAATACCAAGTATTATGTTAATGATTTTGCAGTTCCTCATTTGGAACATAACTCTTACAGGTGATTTTTTTAAAACTATGGAACCAGGCGAAAATAAGCTAACCTATGCATTTTGGTGTTATTTGGGGGTGGAGGCGGTGGGGCACACCTGGCAGTGATCAGGACTTATTCCTGGCTCTGTGCTCAGGGATTGTTCCTGACAGTGCTCATGGGACCACATCATGTGATGCTGTGGATCGAACCCAGGTCGGCTGCGTGCGTAAGATAGGCGTGTATAAGGCAGGTGCCATATCCACTCCAGTCCCAGCCTGTTCATTTTAACGTAAAAGGATTTTCTTCAGAAATCTAAGGAAAATACTCTAAGTGATGGTTGTAGATATTTCAGAGCAGTTTTAATGTGAATGTTTTAGAAAAACATTGTGAAAGACTGTACCTTAGTTGAGAATGCCCTTAAAGTATAGTTGCTCAATCTTTTCCCAGTTGTGGCCCCCTTACAACTTTGTTTTCTTCTTGAGGCTTCCCTGTCTTACTGAGTGGCTTCGTAAGTCTTGTACCATGTCCCGTCCCGTTCTTCCCCCCAAGCTCCCTACACATCTTTTTCATCTGAGACTCCTTTGGAATATCCGGGATAAAAAGCCCTCAGCTAAGAAATGCTGCCTTAAAGTCTCATGTGCCATAGTGCTTTGTTTATTAGGAAAAGAGTCGAACTATTAAATGAACAAATTGAGCCAGAAGAACAAAGGCCTGAGTTGAGGGAGTAAAGTGGCTCAGTCCAGGACACTGCATATAGTCCCCTCAGCACCAGCAGAAGTGACTGCTGAGTACAGGGCCAAGAGTTAGCCCTGAGTAACCCTGAGAGGAGCTCAGTCCCCCATTCCCTGACCCACTCCCCTATTCTGCTCCCCCTCCCTTCAGCCGCAAGTTCTCTGCCAAAGATTTCTTCAGGAAAAACTTAGGAGATTTTCTTTGCTCAATATTATATAGCAATTTTAATTTACCTCTTGTATTCAGTATAAAATACTTTGGTTAGAATCCTTTTATTTTCAGTATGTATGTCATCTGTTCACTTTTTAAAAAGATATATTAAGGATACAATTTAAATTATGAATGGAAATAATCTGATTATACCGCAGTTGTTTGAAATTGAGATAAAGACAGGAAAATGGTCACTCACCAGTGACGTGGCATTATAATTGGCATTAGTAAAGACCGGGTTTTGTGTTTCTTATATAATTGGTGTTTTTAAGTAGAATATATAAGGTCTCGTTATTTTCTTATGTTAGGCTCATCTTATTTATCTAAGGTAGTTTTGTTAGAAAGTGATGTAACTAGTCATAAAATTGGACCCGTAGAAATGCTTTCTGTGTAGCTGGTTTTGATAATATAAGTTTGTATTGTTTCAATACTTTTAATACTTTGTACTGTTTAGTTTTATTATTACCATTTTAATTTAAAATATTCTGTGTTTTTTTTGTTTGTTTGTTTGTTTTTGTTTTTTTTTGTAGACCTGTCCTATTTGTGTGTCTCTTCCTTGGGGAGATCCTAGCCAGATTACTAGAAATTTCGTTAGTCATCTAAATCAAAGACATCAGTTTGATTATGGAGAATTTGTGGTAAGTGTATTAAGATGACCAAAACACCTTTAAAATATTGAAGTTAAAAATGAACCTTTTCAGAGACCGGGGAGATGTTAGCTTAATGGACTGAGCATAAGCTTTGACTGTTAGAGGCCCGTGTTTGATATTCGGCACTATGTAGGTTCCCTGATCACTGCTGGGAGTGACCCCAATCCAGAGCAGCCCTGTGGAATGCTTGGTTATGGCAAGAAAAAAGAGGAGACCCACCCCAGATTAACCTTTTCGTGTGCCAGAGAGCGCTTCCTGGCCTGAGCCTGCGCACTGTATGCAGAGGCCTTGTTCACTCCCCATCTCCCCATCGCCATCTAAGCAACAGAGGGAGTGAGACTGAACACTGCCCGCTGTGTTGGAGAAGGGAGAGAAACCTTTTCAGTATAGGCTTGAATTTTAAGGCAAGCTACTGTACCACACTAAATGAATATAGAACAAGGTCTTTTTTGTGGATAGGAGGAGGTGGGAATTTGGGGCTTGCAAAACACAGGCTCCAGCCTTTGAGCCATTTCCCTAACCCTAAAGCAAAGAAAAAAAATTTTTTTTTTAAATGATACAAGTTATCTCTGGTTTAAAGAAGTCATAAAAGTTGGATTTCCTGTTCACCTCTTATACTAGAGAGAGTACTAATGTAGAAAGACAAAGCTACAGATTAACAAATGATACTTCACATGAAAATTCCAGATTTAAGGGAAAATTATACTTTCCAAAGAAGTAAAATTGGTACAACAGATATTTCTCATGTTGTGAGTTGCGTGTTAAACCCACTTTAATAGATTCTCCCGATAACTAGTATGTGAGAATCTGACTCCTGGCTCTGTGCTCAGGAATGACTCCTCGTGGTCATTCGTGGTCATCACAGGGAACTGTATGGGATGCAGAGGCAAGTGCTCTACCTGCCTGCTGTACTGTTTCTCTGTCCTTGAGACATTTGAAGGTTGTTTATTTTTGTTTTTAATTTTGTTTTTGTTTTGGGCCACACCCAGTGGTGTTCAAGTCCTACTGCTGGCCTTTTGCTCAGGTATCTCCTGGCAGGGTTTAGGGAACCATATCTGGTGCCAGGAATCAAACCTGGCTTGGCTGTGTGCTAGGCAAGTGTGCTATTCTATGTACTATTACTTTGACCCTGAGAAACTTATTTTTATTTACTTTTTTTTTTTTTTTTTGCTTTGGGGGCCACACTCCATGGTACTTGGTTTACTCCTTGCTCAGTACTCAGGCGACCATATGTGATATGGGACTTCAAACCCAAGTTGGGTTCAGGCAAGGCAAGCACCTGGTACTACTACCTATACGGTCCTGGCCCAGGAGGGAGGCCTATTTTACTTTATTAATTTTTTGAATCTATATTGAGGTATTGTGATTTACAGTAGTCTTAAATGTTAATGTCATGCATGTGTCTTTTCAACATCGAACCCATCACCACCATCCAACAAGGGAGGGAAAGTCTGCTATTGCTCCCTTCCTGTGTATCTTTAAATCACACATATAAAAGAGATCATTCTATAGCTGCCCTCTGCTGGTTGACTTCACTCAGCATGATACCCCTTAGTTCCATCATGTAGCAGCATATTACATGATTTGTCTTATAGCTACATGATATTTTCCTTTATGTTTATATACCATGGGCTGGAGCAATACCACAGCACGTAGGGCGTTGGCCGTACACACTGCTGACTAGGCAGACCCGGGTTCAATTCCGCCACCCCTCTCAGAGAGCCCGGCAAGCTACCAAGAGTATCTCGCCTGCATGGCAAAGCCTGGCAAGCTCCCCGTGGAGTATTCGATATGCCAAATGCAGTAACAGCAAGTCTCACAATGGAGACATTGCTGGGCCCACTCGAGCAAATTGATGAACAATGGGAGGACAGTGCTACAGTTTATATACCACAGTTATCTGTAGTTGGGCATTTGGGTCATTTCTATATTTTGGCTATTGTACTAAGCATTGCAATGAACACAGGTGTGCATATATCCTTTGAAATTAATTTTTTCTTGTAGGTCCCAGAAAAATGCTGTCTCTGAGTTATATGACAGCTCTATTCTTGGCTTCTTGAGAAATTTTCATATTGCATTCCATAGAGGTTGAACCAGGTGACACTTTGACCAGTAGTGAATGAGGACCGGGAAGCCTGTGGGTTTTTTTTTTTCTTTTTGGGTCACACCCGGCAATGCACAGGGGTTACTTTTGGCTCTGCACTCAGAAGTTACTCCTGGTGGTGCTCAGGGGACCATATGGGATGCTTGGAATCGAACCCGGGTTGGCCGCGTGCAAGGCAAACGCCCTACCCGCTGTGCTATCTCTCCAGCCCCGGGAAGCCTGTTTTAAAAGCTGTAGCACTGTAGCACTGTCCTCCCGTTGTTCATCGATTTGCTCAAGTGGGAACCAGTAACGTCTAAATTGTGAGACTTGTTACTGTTTTTTGGCATATAGAATATACCACGAGGAGCTTGCCAGGCTCTGCTGTGCGGGCTGAATACTCTTGGTAGCTTGCCAGGCTCTCTGAGAGGGACAGAGGAATCGAATTCGGGTCGGCCACGTGCAAGGTAAACGGCCTACCCACTGTGCTATCGCTCCGGCCCATTTTAAAAGCTAGCCCCGTATAAACTAAGGACCTAGTATAACTTAAGATGGAGCAATTTAAAGATCCCTTCCTGTGATTTAAAGATACATGAGAGCTCTGTGCTTAGGAGTCACTCCTGGCCTAGCCCAGCGTCCATGTGGGCTCATGATTGAATTCAGACCTCCTGCAAGCATGTGCTCAGTCTTTTTCTTTCTTTTTTTTTTGCTTTTTGGGTCACACCTGGCAATGCACAGGGGTCACTCCTGGCTCTGCGCTCAGGAATTACCCCTGGCAGTGCTCAGGGGACCATATGGAATGCTGGGAATCGAACCTGGGTCGGCCGCGTGCAAGGCAAACGCCCTACCTGCTGTGCTATTGCTCCAGCCCCGTGCTCAGTCTTTTTAAGCTATCTTTCTTTTTTTTTTCTTTTTTAAATTTTTACTTTTTTATTAGTGAAACACCATGCGGTACAGTTGTAGACTTACAAACTTTCGTGTTTGGATTTCAGTTATACAGTGATCAAGTACCCATCCCTCCACCAGTGTCCATTCTCCACCACCAATGAACGCATTAAGCTATCTTTCCCTCCTTCAAATATTCTTTTGATTTTCCCCGTTTATTATTCTTAAAGAATTGACTGAACTTAAATTTAAAAATTAAATTTGATACTTAAAGATTACATTTTTATGTTTAATATGTTGTGACAAACTGTTGACGTATTTATAGTATGTAATATATATCAAGATGTGTGATTAAGTAGAGGAGTATATTTTTCCTTTTGACAATATTACTGTTTTTAGAATCTTCAGCTAGATGAGGAAACCCAATATCAAACGGCTGTTGAAGAATCATTTCAAGTAAACATCTGAAAATTGTAGACAGCTCCACATTTTTGTTCCTGCAAGTGCCATCTTTAAGGGGAAGACTACATGAAGTCGTCTTTTGATAACTTGATTTGTATATTAATAAAAGTAATTCACTCTACTGTTTTAGTTTAATTGAAAATTAAGGTGGATGCTCTAAAAACATTCTCTTGAGAGTTAAAAAACAAAATTAAGATGTTATCTTGAAAAGCATTAAAGGATTGTATTTTATTAATGTAATGGTGAAAAGGGAATTCTTGTACTTTATCTTGTTAACAGTACACATTGAATTTTTCCTTATTTGCCTTTAAAATTTGGTGCAATTTCTTCCATTGACATAATTCACAATAGCCAGTTCTGAAAGATGTAATTGATATAAACCTGACATCTGAGCCAGTTAATTAGAATGACAGAATGGGATCTTGAATGCTAAAGTAAAAGAATCCAAAGGAAGCTTTTAAAATATAGGTAGTTGTTTGTAAGCTGGAGGCAGCTAGATTTTTTTGTCATCAGAATTCTCAATTGCCAGAATTTCTGATCAGGTAGGAAAAAACTTTAATTAGAGACTTCTAGTTGGTAAAGTTATATTCTATATATATATTTAAATGAGAGACTTTGGCTTCAGCTCATTTTAGACATTCATTTGAATTCAAAGATGTTTTTAATAGGCTTGTTTGTGTATATACACACTCTGTATGCATGGAGTTTGTCAGGTAATGACAATTTCTACTAAGATTTTTTTTTAATGGATAAGCAAATGGGATTGAATGTTACCTGATCTGATTAAAGTTTATATGTCCCTATGTTTTTAAAGTGAGACGTAAGTGCTAAGTGGTCTGCTTGGCCACTCTTACCCTTTAAAATTTAGTTTCACACAGACCTGTTTGTATGGTGCTTATTTGTTATTCTCAAAGATATGTGTGACTGTGAAGTAGTAGTGAGACATTCTAACAGCCACTTTGCTTCTCTACTTTCAGACAAAACTGGTTCTTAGTATTCATTAGTGAGAATCATACTGGAAGGCCCAAATCACAGAATTAAAGAGTGGATTAGCTGACATTCCATACTAATACATATTGTTTTTGCTTTCTTTAATATAACTAAAAGAACATAAAGGTTAATCTCAGAAGTAATTTGCTGCTAATATATTACATATATTGTATAAAAAGATATATTTTGCTTTTGTTAAAACCCTTGTTGACTTTTATACAGTGAACATTTTTAAACTTGATTTAATAAAAAAGAAAGTTAATTTTGGAAGTGGAGTTTTGTAAAAACCTTTTTGCAGTCAAACAGTAATGACTTTATTTATGGGTAATAACAATCACCAAAAAAGCCATACATCTTAATGAGCATGTCTTTGTTTTATCATATGAGTGATTAGTTTACTATGTTCTCTGCAGTTACTTAAGTGTAATTGTAAGAGTAGCTGTTTAACGAAGTCTTCAAGAAACATGACCATACATTTTTCCAATTGAAAAAAAGCAATAACTTTAGTACTTTTAAAGTTTAATACTCCAAGTATGTCTTCACATTTAATACTCAAGTATTCTAGAAAGTTATACCATTCTAGAATTTCAGAGCTACTTTGAGGTATACTATATCACCTTGTGTTTTGAAGTTTTGTAGATTTCTTAAATATTCATAGTCTTGTGTCTTTCAAAATAAGCTTTCTTAAAGAAAAATAATTTTATTTGCTATTTGGAAACTCCTGAGAATGGAAACGTTTGGTTTTGCTTTTTAGCTTGTTTGTTTTTGAGCCACACTTGGTGGTGCTCGGGAGTGACTCCTGGCTCTTTACTCAGGAATTAACTCCTAGTGATGCTTGTGGGACATATGGTGTGCCAGGGATCTAACCCTTGTTTGCTGCACCAGTGCAAACTTTCTACCAGCTGTACTATCTCTCCAGCCCTGAAAATGTTTTTTAAAGTTTCCCCTCCTTCTGCCAGATTAGGAATAGGTAGAGAAAGGCTTTCCGTATTTATAATTTAAATTTACAAGAAAAGGCGCCTTTGCGTCCCCTTTCCTCCCTCCCCCCCTTATTTTATTATTATTCCTTTTTTTGTGTGGATTTTTTTGAGCCACACCCAGCAATGCTCAGGGGATAATCCTGTCTCTGCACTTATGCATCACTTCTGGCAGAAACTCATGAGATGCTGGGGATCGAACCTAGGTCTGCTGTGTGCAAGTATCCTACCTGCTATTTTGTCACTTCAATCCAAAAGCCCTTATTTTAAAAATGCTTACAGCTGAGTGATTAAGGGAGGGAAATGATTAATAATCTGATAGCTACATCTCACCGTGCCACTAAGGCTATTTCCCTTAACAGACTACAGTTTATGTTGTTGTGCAGTCTTACTTGAGATGTATTGCTTTATTTTTTCATTAAAGGTGGTTTTCTTCTATTTGCCTATAAATAAAAAATTTTGTTTAAATGCAAACATGTTAACATTTAATTCAGCAACACCCTGAAAGATACATAGGAGACAAACCATTATTTTTCTCTTGGATGGGAGAAAGCCAATATTACATGTTGACACACTGTATTGGAGTTAACTGTATAAGCCTGTACTGTATTTCAAATGTCATAATCAGTTCAAAGTTATTTTATCAAGTGTTTATAATAGCACTGTTTCAGGTTGTATTAGCAGCCAGACACCTAATCAATAAGTGATTTTATTGATTTTTGTAGTATGGCGAATTGAGTTCAGGGCCTCAGGTTTTGGATGGCAAATGCTTTACCATTAGGCTACATTCCCGACCTCTAATAAACACTTAAATTCAGAAATTTACCCATAAGATATCAGGGCTCTAAAATCATGTTATCAAATACAGTGTCATACTTGTTGGGTTGTTCTGTAAGTATTAACAGCAGTCTTGAATAAATCTTTTCTAGAAAACTCTTAGGGTTGCTATAGAAATAAATCCTTGTGGAGGTGGTGACATTTTAGCCTTTGTAGAAAAGTTGTGACCCAGAAAACATGTAAATACATAATAGTTTAAAATAGGTATGAATAAAGCATTCTATGATACCACTTAGTGTGCAATATAATTTTCTAATTATGTAGCACAATTTTGAAAAATGGAACAAAAATCATTGAGAAAGTATGCAAATGGTATGGCAGCCTAAAACAAACCCAATAGCATTTATCTAGGTGTATTGTCTCCACCTTGCATTGAAAACTCTGAGAATCTACCTCTTAACACTTTTCAGATCTATCCATATTTGGAATACCTACTAATACATGTTCAGACATTGAGCCATTTTACTATTATGTATCATGTGACCCACTTTCAGTTTTAGCATGGTAGCCAACTAACACGGAGTAACAACTGTGTTTTTGCAGTTTTAGTAAATCACATATGTGGCTTATATGTGGTGAACTTATTTGGTAGGCTTGAAGAATTTTAAATCATTTTTATCACTTTCACTGTAGCACTGTCATCCCATTCATCCATTTGCTCGAGTGAGCACCAGTAATGTCTCCATTGTGAGACTTGTTACTGTTTTTGGCATATCGAATACGCCACAGGGAGCTTGCCAGGCTCTGTCGTTCAAGTGGGATACTCTCGGTAGCTTGCCAGGCTCTCCGAGAGGGACAGAGGAATTGAACCTGGGTCGGCCACGTGCAAGGCCAACACCCTACCCGGTGTGCTTTCACTCCAAATCCATTTTTATCACTGATTTTAAATTTGTGGTGCTAAGAATTGAACCCAGGACTTTCCATGCTGGGCTCTACTATTGACCCACAGTCCTATCCTATTTTTAATTTGGAAAGCTTTTGAATGTTGAGAATATCTTTTATACCAATTTTGTACTTCTAGGGGGGAAAATGATGTTAAACCTTCCAGTATTTTTTAATTCTCAGTAATTTTCAGTTCACTCGGGCCAACAGTTTTCAAACTTTTTGTTCTCAAGATCCTTCAGCATACTGAGACTCCCTTAGAGGTGTACTTTGAAAAATATACTTCACTGTATTTGACAAAAATTTAAGACATTAAAAAATAAAACTAGCACAGCTGGTTGTTATCCCCAACTCCACCAAATAAATTATCAGTAATGCTCTTTGTGGTTGAACTTCAAATACATTTGAGAATAGTAGTGTTGGTTAACATTTACAATATGTGACAGGGTCAGAGGAATAGCCCAAGAGGCCATCTACATGCCTTATGCATACTGAAGCTGACCCCAAAATCTCTGGGTATAGTCCCCAAACAGTCTAACTTAGTGGAACAGATTTTTGGGGGGCACACCCGTGGTGCTCACTGTTTACCTGGATCTGGACACTGGAATTACTCTTGGTGGTGCTCAAGGGACTGTATAGGATGCCAAGGGAACAAAACTGAGTTGACTGTGTTGCAGGGCAAGAATCCTGCCCCATGTACTATCTCTCCAGCCCCCACAAAGAGATTATTATATATGTGTTCAATTTGTTGTGGTCGGTTTTGTTGATTGAAGGATGTGAAGATTATTGTGTGTGTGTGTGTTTTTTGTTTTTTTGGTTTTTTTTGCCTTGGATCACACCTGCCAATGCTCACAGGACACTTCTGGCAGACTATGCAGTGCTGGGGCATTGAACTCCAGCGACAGCATTTTGAGCTATCTCTCTACCCCACAGGGGTATAGTATTTTAATAGCTTTTTAAAAGAAATAACTGGATATCTGATAATAAACTAGAACTGAACAACTTGTAACCTCCTTAAAGTAAGCTTGCAGTCTTAAACGTTTATATTGTTGTCAATGAAATTGATTTATCTTCCACTGTGGATCTTTTTAACCCATACATGGTTTTGTAACAGTCACTTGGAAGATGGTTCAAGTTATGTACATACTCCAAATGTTGACTTTCATCTGTCATATCATTTTTGTTGATACTAGTACTGAACTCATGAGTCTTTAAAATTTGGGAAGCCAAAATAACTTCCAAAAATAAGAATTTTTGCTTAAAACTTTAAATTTTTCACTTGTCACAATCAGTTGTTTCCATGAGGTGACAGGTTCATCAGTTGATCTTTCAAACAAAAATGAGTGTGTCATGGAAATAGCAAGTTTAACTCAGAATTTACAGCAAGTTCATTCCCTGGGAAAGTCATTGTACTTTTGTTACCCTGAAATTCATTGTGGATATACAAAAGGTTAAAAAAAAAAACCAAACCCAAAAACCTGTACTTAAGAGTTAAGTTGGAATACAATTAAAAATTTCACTGTTTGACCAAGATGCTTTTTTTTTTTTTGAGCACTGTGACTATTTGTTTTTTGAGTTTGGGGTTACACCTGAAGGTGTTTGGAGCTTGCTTCACTTAGTGCTTGGTGGAATCCTGGGTTCCAGCTTGCAAATCTTTCACTCCAACTATCAAGGGCATTCCTTTTTTTTGGGGGGGGGAAGGATTATTTGGGGTAACACCTGGCTCAGCACTTCGGGCTCACTCCTGGCGTTGCTCAGGGGACCATATGGGATGCTGGGGATTGATTTGGAGACAGCTGCATGCAAGGCAAACACCCTACTCATTGTACTATCACCCCAGCCTTAAGGGTTTCCCACACTTCTTACAGCATATGATGAGGAATATAAACAATAGTATGTTTGATACCACTGACTGGATTTATGCTGACGTATCAGCAATGAAAGTGTCAAAACTATTAAGTTAAAGGTCATAGGTTTTTTTTTTTTTTAATTTTTATTAGTGAAACACCATGAGGTACAGTTGTAGACATAAACTTTTGGGCTTGGGTTTCAGTTATACAATGATCAAGTACCCATCCCTCCACCAGTACCCATTTTCCACCACCACAGGTCCCAGTATCCCTCCCCCGCGCCCCACATCCCATCCTGCCTCTGTGGCAGGCCATTCCCTTTTGTTTTCTCTCTCCTTTTGGGTGCTGTGGTTTGCAAAAAAGGCATTGAGTGGCAATCATGTTTGGTCTATAGTCTACTTTCAGCATGCTTTTCCCATCCTCCCAACACCCTTTATTTGGTCCTCCCTTCTCTATCTGAGCTGCCTTTTCCCCTAGAATGTGTGTCTGGCCTCCAAGCCATGGAGCAAAACTCCTGGTACTAATCTCTGCCACTCTTGGGTGTTAGTCTCCTATTTTGTTACTTTATGTTCCCCAGATGAATGCAATCTTTCTATGTCTGTCCCTCTCTGACTCATTTCGCTTAGTATGATACTTTCCATGTAGTAAGGTCATAGCTTTTAGTGAAAATATTTTGACCTCACAGATCTTTGAAGATGTGCAGAGATTATCCCCCTTTCAGCTGTTCAA